GTGCTTCGCGAGCCGGATCTGCACGAGGAGCTCGGGCCGGCCCCGGCGGAAGTTGACGTGCTTGAACTCCCACGGCGATCGGAAGCCCTGGAGCGCGCGGAAGCCGTAGTAGTTGAGCTGGCGCGTGAAGCTTTTGAAGTTGTTGTGATTGAAGTACTGCGGGATGACCTCAGACGCGAGCGTCTCCGCGTCCAAGATGACCATCGAGTCGCCCGCGTCGCTCCAGCCGCCCACGGTGCCGTCCAAGCCGTTGATCATCGCGTAGGTCTTCGACGCGAACGGCACCGGCGAGTCGTGCTCCGCGCGCCGCCGCCGCGGCTTCTTGTTCGGCGCCTCGCTCTGCTCGACGGCCGAGGGCGCGGCGACGGCCTGGCGCGGGCGCTTGCGCGCGCGCGACGACGGCGCGGGCGCCGCCGACGCGGGCGCCGCCGGCGCGGGCGCCGCCGACGCGGGCGCCGCCGGCGCGGGCGCCGCCGACGCGGGCGCCGCCGACGCGGGCGCCGCCGGCGCGGGCGCCGCCGACGCGGGCGCCGCCGACGCGGGCGCCGCCGACGCGGGCGCCGCCGACGCGGGCGCCGCCGACGCGGGCGCCGCCGACGCGGGCGCCGCGCCCTCGGCCGGCGGCACGTTCGCCGACCGGCGCTTGCGCGACGACCGCGCCGACTGGCGCGCCGCGGTCTGCGTCGAAGACTGCGCCGTCGAAGACCGCGCCGACCGGCGCGTCGGGTCCGCGGGCGCCGCGGGCGCGCGCGGCTTCCGGGGCTGCTGCGGCGCCGCGAGCTTGGCGCCGTCGCCGATGCCCAGGCTCTTCATGAACTCGGCGTTGCGCCGCACGCGCATCTGGCGCTCGATCTCGTAGGCGCCGGCGCCGTCGTCCCAGATCTTCGCGTCGAAGACCTCGGCGAAGTACGTGTCGTCGTAGAGGCCGATGCGCTTGAAGTGCGCCACGGCGGCGTCCATGATCGCCGACGCGGGCGCCGGCGCCGGCGGCGCGGCGACGACGGCCTGGCGCGACGATGCCGACGCGGACACGATCTCCGGCTCCTCCTCGTCGTCGTCGTCGTCGAGCGCGCCGG